ATTTAATAAGATATCCATTTATAATAATAACTATGTGTAATATATATATATATATATATATATATATATATATATATATATATATATATATATATATATATATATTGTTGATATTACCATATATTAATATAGAAGATAACTATGATCATTTCTTCATGATTAACTAAATACTAACTCTTAGTTTAAATTATAAAACATTATTTTAATTAATAAAGGTTGTATTATACGGTTCATTTGATTAAGGACTCTTTTAAATGTCTGAAATTAACTGTTCATCATAAAACCAGAATTCCTTTTTTCGTCTAGTTAACTGTTTATTACTATTTAACTAGACAGTACTAATTGAGTGAAATTTAATTATTTTATAAATCAATTATAAATATCATAGTAACTAATCATTTTTTTCGTAATAAATAAACATATGATAGTTAACTCATTCCATTTTTATTATATTGGAAATTATGTAAAACATTCAATCGGTCTCAAAGCAACCTGCTTGAATATCTTGGCTACCTCTTCCTGTTATCTGGATATTTCTTGTTTGTTTTAACATATCATTATGCTTATTAGTCTTATATCATATTCATGTGGGTTTGTGAAAAGTTTACTACATTTCGCTGTACAACTTACAAAAGAGACTAATGAGAGACATCGAGGTTGCTTGCAATATTGATAGAAAAGAATATACATTATTCAGATATCGATTCCTGAACTGCTAACATCTAACTGGTGATCACTCAATATTTATTGCAAGGATCGGTCAAGAAATAAGGCAAGGAAACTTGTTGAAATACTTTGTTCTGAATAAAGCCACTAATAACAATAATAGATAAGTGTTGAGAAAAAAAAGTTTAGAAAAATTAGGTGATGTATTAAATTACTCATTTCAAGCTATATAGCCAAATATTAGATTATTACATCAAAAGTTGAAAAATTCAACTAAATGAATAGAACTTCAAAAAGCGTGAAATGTATTTCTATACATAACTAAATAGGCCATTTCGAAATTGATTCTATAATGATGTAAGCAAAAAACACCAACTTAATATCAGGACTCAGTAGCTAAGTTGATAACGCGATAGCGTTTGAAGCGGACGGTACTACTGGGTTCGAGTCCCAAAGTGAACATCAGCTCTGAGATGCGGGTACATCAATCTGACGAGTCCCAAATAGGACGGAACACGCGTCCTGAATTCCACTGCTAGCTACTATCCGTCTTTGCCTATAAATCTTATGACTTAAGGCAATATCGAGGTGATACGCGCAGGATGCACATATACCAATAAGAGGCTGATCAATTGCAGTCCTAAACAACATAGGGGAGATACAAACAAACATCAACAAGTGGATTCTATGATGACTTTGTAATTTATGTTTCGTAACAGACTTAAATAGATATTTATGTGCTTCAGTTATGTGATTGTATGTTCAATAACACTTAATAAGTTGTCGTGACTTTTCTATACATATGAGTTCATACCTATGTAAATTAAAATACAGAATAGAATATGATGTAAACGTTTGTATATTCTTTAAGTTTTATGTTTTCCATAGACTTGACGTCTGACTTGTAAAACTATTCGTACAAACTTAGACGAAATTCCTCAGGACAGCAATCGGTTATTCCTTGAAATATCGCGGTAATTTCAGTCTTTCGAAATACATAAAAAATATTATTCATTTGATGACTGAATTGTGGAAGTCACCAAACGAAAATTCAAACCTCAATTATGTATTCAAAAATAATTCGTTCTTACCCAAAACACCTTGGTAATGTAGTTTTATTATCCAACGTGATGAGTCTCACACTGTTTTTTATATTATTTTCTTTTCCCCATTTTTTTCCATTTGTCTAATTGACCATTTTTGTATAAAAATGATCTTAGCAAATATATTTGTGGTCAGATTGTTCGAAATGTATTGCTCTGACATACCACAGTTCTGATGATCATTGACATCTTATTACATTATCGAAATTTATTAAAGGGACTAACTGTCTTCCTTTTTAAGATAATTTACTATTCAATTATTTGATCAAACATTTGAATCAATTAACCAAAATCACTCTAAGCTGAGGATCTTGTGTAATTTCTATTATATGTTCTTCCTTCAATTGGACACTTACGTACCCGAACGTTCCCAAAAATTATTGGTGGCAGCCTATTATTTGAATTTTTGAGCTACTATTGTCTTCAGAAATCTAACTCCCAACCAATAAGTTACTCCACTTACCTAATTCAGCCCAATCCATGTCGGGACGAAAACAGGGCTGTGAATGTAAACATGATCGGGTGAAATGAAAATAAGACCGTATTAGCTGATGTCCGATCGTTGGTACAAATCATGCAACTATATTGTTTTCGAAGTTTAGTAGTTAATGAAAATTGACAGAAAACTCCAGAACTAGGTTACGTGCTATTGATTACCCGTTATCTAAACACAACTGAGTTTTTAAAAGAAATTGAAGCTCTTAGTGAAATTCATACTTGTATCATTCAAAGATACAGATGAATGAGTAATTATTGAGTTATTGAAAGGACCATTGACTTCCTGTAGGACTAGAGTCTTCACACTAACTTGTTGTCTTGTTTGTTTCCCAGTGTGGATTGATTTATATCAAGTTATAAGGTGACCACTATTCTTAAAACTAAGTACTTAATTTAAAACCATGAACTAATGTTTCTTTTAAATTCAATTTATTAACTCCTTCCTAGTTAATGAATTCTATACTAAAATTTATTCCAGACAATCTAATTAAAATTGTTTATTACATCATTTTTTCACATAACAACCAAGTTAATTATTATGTATGGAAATTAATATCCATTCCGGTTTTTAATAGTGAAATAACATGTAACCATCTCAGCAACCAAAATTTCAATAAAATTTAACATTAATTTGTTAGAGTACATTAATTGAAGCGTACAATTTCAAATGTTTATTTAAAGATGTTCAATTAAATGACTTTAATAAAAGCGGTTTCTTTTCAAAATAATAAAGTCCATTGAATAATGACATAATAACGAAACAATAAGTAGTATATATTGATGTTACTTTTGGCAACTCTTTATTTAATTCATTCAGTTATTTATTTATTCGTAAAATAAAAACAACTAATTTTTTTTCTTTAGAAAAACTGATGCGGGCTGGTTGAAAACTTCATTTGTCTAACCTTTTGTGTAATGATGGTTAGTTAATCAGTCACACAATTCGACAAAGATATATGTCAGATAATATATAATTCTCATGAAAGATAACATTATATAAAACTGCACTTTAATGCTATAAAGGTGATAATAACATTAACAAGTCTGTGTTTTCTTCTCTCTCTCTCTCTCGATATTTTAATAATTTCTAGGTGTTAATTATCACTAAATGAGAACTAAAGTTTATGGTTTTATGTAGTCTTAAGATAATAACTCAATGTTTCAAAGGTGACCTTGATAATATTTTAAGTTCGTTGAGAATAGGGTTTGTAAACAGAGAAAAAAAGTGATGAACTCTTGTACTTTTGTATCTTTTATAGAGAAATCAAGTGGCTTATAAATGACACAGGATTCAGTACTCTTGGAGGAAAACAAAAATTCTGAATATTTACGGAATAACTTTCTGTATTGTTAAAGCTCGACTACTTCAGACTGTTTGCTGGATCTTCAGTTTACAGTTTATTTTCGCAATTATCATCAAAATGATCGTAAACTGTATAGTTTGAAACTAATGTGTACCACATATTGTCAAATTGTTTATATACGTCACATTTTCAAATAGGATAATTAAAGAAAATACTGATTACTTTAGATGAATTATAATTTCATAGTTAGGAGTAAAAAGATTATGTATAAGTTCTACATTGCAAAAATGGAATATCAAATAAACGTCAATCTCTTGAGACTGTGAGCAGTCAAAACAATACAAAGACCTGAAATTAACAAAACAAGGGATGTGTTTGTATGACAATAGGCTTAAAATAAATATTATATAAACCAGTTTTTGAAGATAGAAATTGTATTTATTTACATTTTCTCTATTTTCACAATCTGTGTTTGTCGCAGCATACTCGGATCCCTATACTACTAGTTAAAATGACTATCGGAATAAACCAGTATAACACTTTGAATGAAATAAAATCTGAAGATGTTAATCAGAATAGCAATGAATGCTCCTCGTTTAAACCATCTAGCTTGAAGAATTCGACTTCATTAAAATTAATTTGTAATATCAAATACCATTATTAACTAATCCATGTACATAATTCAATGCAATTACATAGTTCTGTAGAAATATTAAATACATTCTGACAATATTTGGACAAATACACTACAAAAACCTGTACACATCCTAAGTGCAGGGAAAATCTGTATGTTATTTAAGATTTATGCAAATAGTATTGTTGCAATAATTTACCTTCGATAACAAGAAATCCAGGATTTATGAACTAAGTAAATGGTTAAGGTACTATGATGTTTGTTTACTTTTTCAGATTTCAATAGTATATGGTCTTTCTACAGAAAGAAAACTGCCCCTTAGAAGTACAATCATGATAACCTTGTGTTAAATGGACAGTTCTACTTTCTGAATGGATGCACTAAATTATTATTATTATGAGATGTTACAGAAGGGGAAGAAAGAAGGGTACACAAAATAATCAAAATTTCACATAAAGCAACATTTCATAATAAAGGACTCAGATAGTTAAATTCTCCACTTCATTAATATCACCCCTTACTGTAAATGAAAATTATAACAGAAGCCGCAAATTTTATTGACCTTCTAACCCAATTGTGTAAAAATCGCAAATTTGTAACCAACCAATCAGAACATTTACTGATTAGGTTTTTAAGTAAGTCTATCCTAACTCATTCATTTTTATGAGAATTTGTTATCTAGTTTATTGCCACGTATTATTAAAATAATTATTCACATAATTATGTTCCGAAATATTTTTTTTTCACCCTGATTTACAAATTTCAGACATCACTAATAACTATTAACATCACACAGTCGGTTAACAGAATTGTTTTGTTGTTCACCACCTTGTAATCTTATTTGTTGATTTCAACATACCATTAGGTTTACATTTACTCAGTTGTTTTTTTATAGACAGAAGCATCTTAATAAAAGGAGGCAACAAATAATTCAATTTAAAAGACATCAGGTTGATTCTCGTAATACATTATAAGTGAATTCTGCTAAAAATCACGTAAGTTATATAATTGTAGTAAAATATGTTATTTTAAGTGAGAAATTAAACTCTTAATTCTAAATGAAATTCTGATTCTTTACGGCATTCAGAGTAGAAATAAAGGTTTATATTGAAAATAAATAATTACTGATCTGTTTGTATTTATTAATAAATAATAATAATAATAATCTCTTAAGTAAACAATAACTCTAAGAAGGATATCTTACATTTACACATAAACACCTTAGTAAGTACTACATTGTTCATCGATCTAAGAGATCATTGTTCCTAAGGTGTAGATTTAGATTGCTTGATTATTCAAACAATAGAATCAATAGTTTAAAGCTTTGTATCATTTATGCGCTTCGTCAAGAAACTTTCCCAGATATCTAATTATATGACGTTATTTAAAACATTAAATTAATTTTGTATGATCTCGACAAAACAAATAGCATTAGCATTGTTGTTAATCGTAAAAATTTTCATTGAGGTTCGGATACAATAAATAACTCTTGGTGTACTGGATCTCCGAGTGGATGCCTCATAGTGGATATAGTTATAGGTCTTTGCTTGAACAACTCGGTTAGTCCTTAATGGAATGAATATCATGTCCTGGATTCCAATCCTAATTATTATTAAAAAATTTAAGTTTCTTTTTTAGTAAAAAGACAGTTCCTACAGTAATGACAAAATTATATCCTGTAGAGTTTAGCAATCAATCAAACTTACCACTACGAATGTTTAAAAGACATTTCATTTCAGAAAACCAGACTAAATAATGGGATACGAGATAAATAAATATACCTAATTACCACATACATTACTTCAAATCCATAACTCTTCGATACAAACAAAGTTAACACAAAGTTTCACTCAACATTCTAAAAATTATCTACTCTGATAACACATATTCAGAGAAAGAGAAATAAAAATTGATTCATATTTTGTAAGATTCTATAGCTAATTACTCAAGAATCCCATACTAGGACGAAACAGCCGTCTAGCGCTTCCAAGATTTCCATGGTGATCTAGGGACTCATTTTTTTATTATATTTAATTATTTCAATCGATTTTTATAAACTCAAGGTTACTAACTATTTTGCTGACATTTTTGTTTGTATTAAATTGGGCCGATACCATGACAACATATTAGTTTATTGATCAATTATTTAACATTATATGAACAGATCAAAAATACTATAAATATATAAATTATTGAAATTGGGCGGGTAAATCGATTAATTGTCCAGTCATTTAATAAGCTTTAATGACTTTATTGACCAAATATTTTGTCTTTTTTCGTTGTTATTTTCATCAATTAGACACAGACAGTGTTTCTCATTTTTATGACTTCATTTTAGATCATGGTATCCCATTGCTAGGTTAGGCTGAAAATTGACCTTATTTGACTCTTGATCCATATAGACGATCATAGCCTGTACCATTTGACCTTGGATCATTTTCGACCAATAGAATGGAATTTTTATCTGACTAATCAATAGAAAGCCTGAAAAAATTTCATCCCTGATCTTTTAAGATCGTATTACTGAAGGGAGTTTAGGTGAAGGAAAAATTTAATATACTGGTCATTTGTTCATTTAGTCACCTTAAAATGAATATTAGTGGTTGAATATATGAATAAATGTTTGGAATTTAATAAGTTTGGATCTTGTGATGTAGACTGCTTTAATAATACACAATTGACAACTGGAATAATTTAGAAATGGATTAATAAAAATGTCCAGAGACTATGACAGTGGACTACTACGTTTTTACATTCATCGCTTCCAGCTATGATTATGGAGCATCATGAGACTTCGTAAATTAAAGTGTAACACAATTATTCATTTTATGTTTTTTAGTATAAAATATTTTAATTGCTTATCATAAATGATAGGACACAGTCGTTTTTATATAAGGTACACTGGGATACCGACATATAAGTTATTGAAGCTGTCAGGTTTCGAACGCTGTTAGTAACAACAGAATTTCTTGACTAACAACGTGGTGTTGTTTTTAACTAAGTTTACTCCCACCAACTAAAAAGTGAATTCTGAAATAATACTCCAAACATTGCATGTCGCACTCAATAAAATTTGGCAAACTGACGATAAAATTGCACCCAGTTCTTCTTCTGACGAACTAGATACAATAAAACCACTGGGTTAACAGATTTGTCTGATCTGTTTTGCTCAAATATTTTGGATAAAACTAACTTTTATCTCTCAGTTGACTATCTGTTAATCTCATATTACTAGCAAAATAACGATTTATCTTGATTATTTTATTGATGGATCAAATGTGAAACACACTACGGCTAATATGAAACTCATTTACTTAACTCTGTATCTATATGTTTCTTAGAATTCATGTTTAAACTATGCTAATAGGTACGTTAAATCCATAAGACCACTTCACCAGATCTTTTTGCTTATTTTTGGCTGCTTTTAGAAAAAAATGCATATTCCGATAAAACTTTCCTCATCCTTTGGATAAACAGTATACTTAATTGTCTTTCTTTTCGATAACTTGTAATATTTTAATATTGAAGTAATTTGCATGAATAAGTTTTATCCAAACTACTTTCTTGTAATTTACAGAGAATGGAACACAAGACTAGTACAACTTCCACATCATACAAGCTTGAGCGTAAATGGAGCCTAGTTAATGCCTTGGCAAAGGAATTGGCTGATATAGGAGATGAAATTAATGGGAGACTTTCGTATACTCTTGATGGTCTATCCTATTCAAACGAATTGGCCGTGATAAAAACATTTTCAAATTCACCTGGGACATTTCAACATTCTGATTATCTGAGTTGTAAAGTAAGTTGGTGTGGTTTACACAAATAATACTGTTAATGTATTTTCATCAAATTATGGAAGTTAATCTAATGTTTTGACTATATACTTATTGAAAATATAACCCACTGAATGAAAGTAGAATGTCTAGCTGAATAACTCACAATTTATCAATCGATTACCCAACAGTTATCAAAATTTTCCATGGTTTTATTTATTTATTTATTTGAACACATAAATATTGGTAAAAGGGGGCACCAAATATATATGCGCCACATAAAAAAATGAGGAATTTAAAGAGAAGGGAAGAAAAAAACAACAACGACCTGATTAGTGTTAGGTAGTGTAATATTAGTAATAATGGGGGAAACGAAAAGATACAATCAGGAGAAATCTTACAGTTAAGGAAGAAGCAACCACTCTTTACGAAGAAAGTAAAAGAAGGTTACAGCAGGATCGCCACTGGCTTCTATTCTGAGCCATATCTAATAACGTCTCTAGCCACTGTGTTGCACCATCTCTCGGACCCCAGCCAGGGAGTCGTGAAGGACCAACACAAGCCAGCCCTTTGCAGCTTTCTTTCATACCACGACACCATGTCATACACTGACCACCTCTCCGCTTTTTCCAACCAGTCCCAGAGTCGGCAAATAATGCACGACGTGGAATTCTCCGGGACGACATTCGTAGAACATGTCCAAGCCACCGAAGTCGGTGTTTCAAGATGGTGACACCAATTGCATTGTTGTCTCTGTGCCCGAACACATGATGCCGAACCTCTGCATTACTAACATGGTGTTGCCACTGGATATTAGCAATCCTTCGGAGATAGCGATGATCGAACACAGAGAGTCGTCTAACATCCTCAACTCAGAGAAGCCAGGTTTCACAAGCATAGAGCAAAACTGCTCTCACCAACGTGTTGTAGATCCGACCTTTTACAGCCAGACTAACATCACCTTTGATTTTAACAGTATATCTATTGTAATCCATTTGGCTTAGATTGTATATTTAATTTACTTTGGCATAAGTTGTACGGTAAATTATTGATACTTTCATTTGACTTAACTGTACTAAATACAAATATTTTTAAAACTTCTCTTTTGAGCTAAATTCATCAGATTAGCTGCCCTATTTAGAATATAACTGATTTTTTCTGAGAAAATGTGAACTTAAAGGTTCAATTTAATGTGAGCTAACAGATGTAGACTACTGAAGATTCACAAACTAGTGCGAAACAACTGTTTAATACTTCCGTGATTCTGTTAGTCTGTGACAAAATTAACTTCACGTGTTATGTTTCAGCGATTCATGACAGTTAACTTCATTTATTTCATGTCATCACTATCCATTCCAATGTTCATTTAACTGGAATGAGCATAAAATCAATAATGTCTTACAAACCTTATTTGGTATTTTTGAATAATCTATTAAGATGAAGATTATCAGAACTATATGATATGTTAGTACACTTTATTTCAAAGAATCTGACCACACATATACTTGTTAAGAACATCTATACATGAAAAACTAAAAAGTCAACTAGATGAATGGATAAATGACTGATTCATTAGTTCAATAGAAATGTGTCTACATAAAATACTAAAAAAATTCGTGAAGATGACATACGATAATAACTAATTTTGAGCCGGCATCCAACGGTGTTAATGTCTGATTTTAATCGATCCATAACCTTGCTCAACCCTTCATCCATTGTTTGAGGTGGGTAACCGTGTCCACGCGGTACCAGATTATAGTGGTCTAGAGGTCAAGTGTTCACGTGCGAGGCCGAAGTTCCTGTGTTCGGGATCGTGGATATGCACTGCTGAAAAGCCCCATACTAGAACGAAATGACCGTCAAGTGCTTTCAGATTTTCAATTGTGGTCTAGCTTAGATCGATTCATGATTCCAAATATTAAAATTACTATAATCTCTACAAATCTCCATTCTGATAATTAAACATCAAGAAACCCATGTGTTCGAACGCAGGACCTACTGGTTTCGCGCGCGAGCACTTAACCACTAGACCACTGAGCCGGCATCCAACGGTGTTAATGTCTAACTTCAACTAATACACGGAATTGATCAACACATCCACCATTATCTTCAGTGAGTTACTATCCCACAACAGACCTGGTTGAACTCCACTGGTCACTACTTCTCACTAGAACTTCAGGATATACCTCTTGTAGCCAGTCACTAGTGAGCATATGTTGATTATTGTCAGAAGGGGTTTTGTGGAGATTGTAGTAATTTCAATAATTAGGATCATGAATCAGTTGAAGCTGGACCACCATGGAAAACCTGGACGCACTGGACGGCCGTTTCGTCCTACTATGGGACTCCTCAGCAGTGCGCAAATTCATATGTTTCACATGAATTGTAAAGCGAACGAAATACCAACAAGGTACAACAAACAATAAGAATTGTTTATTAGATTATTGAATGAAATCATACAATTGGCTTGTCAGAAATCTTATGTCTGAATAAAAAAATCTTAATTTTTGGTTGATTTTTTTGTTATTTAAAAATATATGTAATTAACATGGTAGCTAACAGTAGGCTGTCAGAATATAGTTTCTACCATTATTCAGACACTTGAGAATTTAGTAAACTAATTAAATAAACTGTATATGAGTTTATATATTTACTCAGCATGTAACTGGGATTTGCATGATCCCCTAACTTCTATATATGAGAATAAAAATCTTATCCAAAAATAGAATCTTACTATAAAATAAAATTTTAATACAATGTCAATATTTTGTAGCATGTAATAATAAAATATGCTTAAAGTCAAATCGAAATTATTTTCAAAACTGATTTGATTGCCCACTGAATAGTTACTCTCGAAGTTTATGTTATGAAACAATGCACCCTGCTGATAGTTAAACTTTAATTTTATTTATCAAAACATCTGAGAGTAGTCTAGACTATGCCAATACTTTATAAAAAGTTTCACTTACAATTTATTATATTCCTGTTTCTAAATCTACCTGAAAATGTATAATGAAAATAATGTCGAGTGTAAACTATTCTTTGTGTTTAAATTCTTTTGAATATCATATAAATTTCTATGATTTAACCAGTGTTCAGTTAATTGATCAGTTATAATCTTTGGAATTCAGTGATAGTTAATCTCATGATTAATAATTTTACTTATATGTGATTAATCGATAATTGTTATATAATTAAATCTGATTTTTATGAAATAAAAACATTGCCATTTTATGTATCTGCTCAAAATACAATGTATGATAAACAAGATCGATTGTTTACAGTTCTTAACACCATTCAGAAGATTCAAATAACCCTTGAGAATAAGAACTTAGTAATATAGTTTTAGAACTCCATCCTTCCCTTACTAAGTGAGCTAAAGTTATTGATCATTTCTTATTTTGACAATGATTCCTGTTTTCTTTATACTATTAAATCATGTTTAATAGATTTAAAAACGAAAAAAACCTTGATTTAAGGATTAAAATAAGTGAAAAAAACAAAAACAATCTATAATGTTAAAAAAGGTGAAATCAAACGTCTTATTTCCAGTTTATAGACATAAAAAAACGAACGAATAAATATATGCTCACTAGTGACTGGCTTCAAGAGGTATATCCTGAAGTTCTAGTGAGAAGCAGTGACCAGCGGAGTTCAATCAGATTTGTTATGAGATAATAACTCACTAAAGACAATGGTGGATGTGTTGATCAATTCCGTGTATTAGTTGAAGTTAGACATTAACACCGTTGGATGCCGGCTCAATGATTTAGAGGTTAAGCACTCACACGTGAGACTGATAGGTCCTGGGTTTGAATCTTGCGAGGCGGGATCGTGGATGTTCACTGCTGAGGAGTCTCACAATAGGACGAGGCGGCCGTCCAGTGCTTCCAGATTTCTTATGGTGGTCTGGCTTCAATTGACTCATGGTCTCAACTATTTGACTAAACAATAATCAGGTTGTTGGATTTCAAATAGATTTAGTCATATTTAAACTTTAAATAGACTTGTTTTCCTAGTTACTTCTACAATACGTCGTTCGTAATTGATAATTCTACATGAAGTCAGTTGAAAAAAGTCAGGTTATTTACATTTATTTACAAATGTTACGACTCTACTTTTTATCTATGTAATGAATTCTACTGAAGTTATGTTACAGCAAATTCAGTATAATTTGCATAATCTGATTCATTATTTTATGACGACTTGAAAAATAAAAACTTACATAATGGGATATATTTATCCACTTATAGCTAAGTCTTAAACATTCACGGCATCCAGGAAACGATGAGCTTAGTCTTCCTAAACGTTGGATCGTACTCTTGGTTTAACTTCCGTCCCCCGAATGTTTGAATATTAAAACTCAAATGCTTCTTTAACATTTACTTTTTTGTCAGCTGTTTGATGTTTCTCATGTAATATACTGCTTGATAGTTAAAACTGATGAATAATGATTTGTTATTTGCTTTTCTTGCAGATTGGATTCAATTCAAAGGGTGAAGTTACTCGTTTATTTTACTATGCTACACCTGTACTGGTTGTAGCCTACTTATTCTATCGAAGAATGAGTTAAAATAGTACCTCATCTGGATGACATTACACAGATTTTATTGTTTGAACTAACAATCAGATATCAGATGTCTACTCTTATCCACTTAAGCAAAAGGAATTTATTCAGCAAGATGAAAACAATCCCCGAATTGTCAGATTCCAAATTTCTTAATAAAATGGAATATCGAGCCATGTTAAATTTGTACACATGAGAAGCCTAGATACTATATACATGGGAGATTTTTAAGCAGTTGGAAACTTGATTCTTTAATCATCAAATCGTGAATTATGCCACTTGGATATGTGTATGGATCTAATAGTACTTCTAATTAACAACAAAACTAAAAGTTGAATTCTAATGAAGCACCGAAACAGCTAGAACCGGATATCAACCCTATGTATATTTTCATTGTATATAAAAAACATATTTTCTGACTTATCGTGGTATATTTTTTTCAAAATAAATGTCTGACAATGATCTATGGATTCTTTCTATAAAAAATAATGCCAGTTAAAAAAGGAAGGGTTTTTAAATGCCTTACTAAATTTTATTACATGTATACTTCGTGGATGCACACTATTTAGGAGTCCCACAATAGGACGAAACGGCCGTCCAGTGCTCCCAGGTTTTCCATGGTGGTCTAGCTTCAAATGACTCATGATCTCAACTATTGAAATTACATATATACTTCTCGATAAAAGGTTTCCTGTAACACATTGATCTTAATATAAATGAAAAAAGGAAATTTATAATTACTTGTATTCATTGTTCAAGCACACATCCACGAATTCAGAGGTTTACAAATCAGATTATTCCTAAGATAGTTTTCATGGTAAAGTAAAATTTGTTTTAAAAATGTCTCACTCAATAGATGTCTCACCTTATTCTAAGAAATTTTAGTATTCTTTGTGTTGGTGAAGATCGGATGAAATCGGTCAAAGATTAAGAGTGAGATCAATTGCTGAGAAGCAACTGAAATATTCGATAAGTTGGATAATGAAAGCCACTAGAACAGAGGATGAGCTGTTCTAATAACAGTACTGTTTTTTCAGCGCTAAGAAGTTTTCTTGTCGTTCGATGTTGGAGAAGATTCGTGAAGGTATATACTTAGGAGTTAAATAATAATTCAGTTTTATCTGAATGGCCATCCCATAGTTTGACGATCTCATTGAATTTGACAGAGCAGTTGTCCACGAAGATGAAATAAAACATTAGTAATACTGATACTTGTTGAAAAATCTTACTAAATAGCGGGCTATTTTACCGATTCTTAGACTTATTAAGGAAATATCTGGAATTAAATAGCGTTAAACTTCTAGGGGTTTCACTCCGAATCTGTAATTATTCCTTACCTTCATTTCATAATGTATATAAGGCCTAATCACCCAGGTAATTTATTTCTACAAAGACAACAGTATGCAATAAGAATATTATTCGGTAGTAAGTATCGCAAGAGACGGCTAGAAACATAGCATCATTAATGTATTTGTTAACCAATGAACTGCTGGTAAAATACGAGCTTCGATGACCAAGTGGTTATGTCTTTTATGTCGATAAGTGTAAGGTCAATTCATTTTAACCGTCTATAAAGCGGTTGTTAAAAAGACCGATTTGACTCACACAAATAGCTAATTGCAAATGAACAATATTTTTGACCAAGCACTATTTGGAAATAGCTAACAGATTGCTACTCCTACAATGCGATATATTATCTCAAACGAACAACTACGGTGTGACAAGTCTGCACAAAAATCAACAAAGACAAGAATAAGTATATTTTTCTACCTAGGATTATCCGTAACTAAAAAGGAGATTTATAACTGATCGATTACTGAGTATTGGTCACTCAGTTGCAAATATGTCAGTTCCGCTCAACGTCCATCGCGACTCAAACGGATTATTGGTAACGTCTCAGACTGTACGAACCCGCCAGAGAGAGAATTAGCTTTCATAAGATTACAGGTGTACCTCGTGGATGAGTACCAAATAGCAAAAACCTTAAGTTAGCAGTTTCGGGACAACTACTTAAAATCACCTAACTAAAAGGATCTTTACTTGTTTCTATATGGATTGTTTGTTAAAGACAGCAGCAAATAAGTGAAATCATTAAGACTTAGTGTTAACATCATTTCAAGATTAAACACAATTTAGGAAGAAAAGATTTGGGATTGGATTAAGTCAAATAAATCCGAAAATATACCGGCAGGTTTGACTTCAAATAAAGAGGGGATTGATGTTACACAAAAGACTATAAAAAAGTCTTTAGTAAAAACCTTATTTATATAAATAGTGAAATGGGGAAAAGCCATGAAAAAAGATGTTCATTGTTTCAAAATGTAATCGAGAATGTTGTCCTTTGTTCACTGAAGTAAAACAAATGATGTATTGCAAGGTAACGATATACCCATAAGTAATCCAGAAGGATTCGAAAACAATAATGCTCAGTATTTTAAAGAATAATGAATTATAATATTCTAAAAGCAAGTTTTCAGTCTTTTACTTTAGCATTTGTTAGAAATTCAACAGTTCCAACTGATTGATGTCAAAAGTATGAAATAATGATGATTTGCAGCCGGTGTCGATGCAGTCACGAGATGGTGAGCTGATTTAACACTTGTGGAATAAATAAACAGCTATCTTTTACATGAAGTTAATCCTGATAATGTCCAAAACAACGATGAAAGTTCGTCAACTGAGCAATCTGTATCAGAGAACTTGATAACATCATTAAGTGTTGAAACGTATACTGATAATCATATCTTATTGAACCGTAACCCATAATTCTGTCGGTACAGATCACTCAGTTTATGTAAAAGTTTTACGATACCTGAAAGAGTTTATATAGATTACGGAATTAGGAATTTTCAGCTACTCTTTATGGTTAGAAATATAACAACGCAACAAAAACTATTTGACGCCTATAAGGACTAGAAACCACACTATTACAGTCCTTGTTTATAAGATTAAGTTCACTTTCAACTGTTCCATTTAGTTCTGCAGAGTAATAATCACCATTCTTAGTTTGTTTTTAATGTTTCCTTTTTTATTAATTCAATCTGTTCTTCACTAAAACCAATTGTATCGCAACTCAGATTTACAGAGTTCTTTAGTTAAATGTGTAAACCACACGTTAAATTCTTCATTTGCAAATTATCTATCAGTTGTCTTAAACATAATTGTTCCTTCATTTCCATAACAATTACTATCTGGTCCCGTTCTCTTCGATCTGATCCTCCTAACTTTCGGCCTCCAGGTATTCCATTTCTGACTGGTGTTATATGCTACTTATGTCGACGTAAGTAGCACACACTATAATAGTATTACTTATTTAAAACATTTAGCAAATTGTTGTGTAGCAGTTAGAAGCTTTATACTATCTGCTTCTAGTTTCGATTTCCAGATTGTCATAATTTAGGTATTGTACTGTTGTTGATAATTGTGTTCTTGGTAGGTCGTTGGCTCATCTTTTCTTTTGTCCTTTACTTTTTCACCTCTCCTCACTCGCGGTAATTGTTGTGCTCCCCAAGTACACCACGTAACATTTGACTAGATGCAGATCTCCATATATTCATGCAAACAGAAAGTGCTATATTTTAGATATTCACTTTTAAATCATCTAAAATACTTTATTACCATTGACTCCATATTAATGCACAAAGTTCGATGATACAAATATATTGACGTATTATAACTTCTTTTGAACTCCGCCTGTAGCTCTTCTAGAGTTACTGCCGGTCCCAAGCCCGGGTAAAGGAGGAGGGTTGGGCATGGGGTTAGCAAGTGAAGAAGAGCTTTAAATCCGACAAGCGGAAATACGTGGAAGAACTCGCAACGACGGCGGAAAAAGCTGTAAGAGAAGGAAATATGAAACAGCTTTACGATACAACGAAGAAACTAGCAGGGAAATATAGTAAAGCAGAGAGACCAGTCAAAGACAAAGAAAGAAGACCAATCACTGAAATTCAACAACAGCGCAACAGATGGGCAGAGTACTTCGAGGAACTCCTGAATAGGCCGGCTCCAATGAATCCATCGGACATCGAAGCAGCACACACAGATCTTCCTATAGATGTCAATCCACCAACGACCGAAGAAATCAGAATGGCCATCAGACAAATCAAGGGCGAAAAGGCAGTAGGACCCGACAACATACCAGCTAAAGCACTGAAGTCAGACATCGAAGTAACTACAAGCATGCTTCATCTTCTATTCAAGAAGATTTGAGAGGAGGAACAATTGCCGATGGACTGGAAAGAATGACACCTCATCAAGATTCCAAAGAAAGGAGATCTGAGCAAGTGTGAAAATTGAAGAGACATTACATTACTGTCAATACCAGGAAAAGTCTTTAACAGAGTGTTACTGAACAGGATGAAAGTCACAGTAGACGCTCAACGTCGAGATCAACAAGCTGGATTCCGTAAGGACCGGTCATGCACAGACCAAATTGCGACACTACGGATCATCGTCGAACAATCAATTGAGTGGAACTCGTCATTGTACATCAACTTCATTGATTATGAGAAGGCATTTGACAGTGTAGATAGGAGGACGTTATGGAAACTTCTTCGACACTGCGGAGTTCCTGAGAAGATCGTCATGAAGGACAGCTGACTGATGCATTCCAAGTAAGGACTGGAGTCAGACAAGGTTGTCTACTCTCTCCCTTCCTCGTTCTTCTGGTGGTCGACTGGATTATGAAGACCTCGACATCTTAGGGAAAACACGGCATACAATGGACAGCTTAGAACCAATTAGACGATTTAGACTTCGTAGATGACCTAGCCCTCCTATCGCATACACACGAACAAACGCTGATAAAGACAGCCAGTATAGCAGCAGTCTCTGCATCAGTAAGCCTCAACATACACAAGGGAAAAACGAAGGTCCTCAAATACAACACGGAGAACAGCGACCAAGTTACTCTTGATGGCGAAACTCTGGAAGACGTAGAATCCTTCACATAGCTGGGAAGCATAATCGATGAAGAGGGAGGATCCGATTCAGACGTAAAGGCGAGGATTGGCAAAGCAACGGCCGCATTCCTTCAATTGAAGAACATATGGAGCTCAAAACAACTTTCAACCAATATCCAAGTCAGAATCTTCAATACCAACGTCAAGGCAGTTAGTTACAATGTACGGAGCTGAAACGTGAAGAACTACAACAACTACCATCAAGAAGGTAC